TGACACAGAGGACAAATACAGTAAAGGGAAAAAGAAAGTACACATTTCTAAAGTTTTACATATCTGCATATAACCTCGCCAGGTTCTGAAATTAGGTAACTGCACCTCAGATGGAGAACCACACATGACTTATTACACTGTTTACACTTAATTTTGGAATCTGATAAGAACCGGATATTTTTTTTATTATGTCCTGATATGTAAAATGTTAGAAAGATGTACTTTTTTTCATGTGACTGTACATGTTTATAGGAAGGGTAACGTATACAATTTTCGGACTTTACAAACAACTTTGCATGTGTTTGCAGAGGACATGTGCTTAACCTCTAACCCTGACCCTTTTTGACTTTTGACTAACCCTGACCCTTTTTGACTTTTCTAATCTGTCGACCAGATTTGTGTAAAAGGACCAAACGTGTTTAAAGGCTACCTCAAAGACTCAGAGAGAACAGCGGAGACACTGGATGCCGATGGCTGGCTCCACACGGGAGATATCGGGAAATGGCTACCTGTGCGTATACGCAGCTTACATTTGAGACGAGTCATAGATTTTGAAAAATCCCTTGTGTTTATATGAGAACAATCCATAATATTTTGTTTAAAATTATATTTCTCGTTTTCCGTAGAATGGCACGCTGAAGATCGTTGACAGGAAAAAGCACATTTTCAAGCTGGCGCAGGGTGAGTACATCTCCCCTGAGAAGATCGAGAACATCTACATTAGGAGCGAACCTGTGGCACAGCTTTATGTTCATGGAGATAGTCTGCAGGTAAGGACATTTGATCAGTTACAGGAAGTGCAATGTGAAGTAGAACTCCTGCTCAAATTTATGTGTTCCAAGGCCTGGTAGTCATCTTTGGCTCCTAAGAGCCTGCAAGTACATCTGGGCTATGTGTTACTTAGTGTTGATTTTCTATTTTGATCATTATCCAAAACACCTTGTTTTTTTTCCTCAGTCCTGTTTGGTAGGAATAATTGTTCCTGACCCTGAAACCATGCCTGGATGGGCCAAGAAGAAAGGTATCTTGGGCACCTACGAGGACCTATGTAAAAACACTGTAAGTGGCATATGGTTCTAACACTTACAGTTAATATTATTAAAACCTACTGGAAGTTATTTAGAAATGTAACAAAGCTCCCTCTCTCCTTTGTTTAACAGGAGTTAAAGAAGGGAATCCTTGAAGATTTGGTGCGTCTTGGAAAAGCCAGTGGCCTCCATTCTTTCGAGCAGGTAAGTAGGAACTTATCTGTTTGTAAGTGTATTTTTTCTTGATACCTTAAGACATGTATGTAAGATAACATTTTACAGTATCTCCATAAACAGTATGTGCCTGAAGTAACATCTTTTAGATTCGATTTTAATGTCTTTAAGTAATCTAGTTATTCACAAATCCCTCCAAGCAATACCACAATATCTAAATTAATGAAATACTGCAGATACAGCTATGGTAATAAAAATATTTTAAAATAATAATTAAAATATTAATGTTTTAAATCATTTCAAAGGAGATTAAGCCAAGTGAAACAAGAATGCCACTGGCATTAATTCTTGTGCTGTTTGATAAGTTATATGTTACATTTATATACTATCAGGGATTGGTCTTGTGATTCCTGTAAGAGTATTGCCTAACAATGCATTTGTGGCTATAAGATAAAGTAAACTTAAGAGCAGTATTTATCTCATTCACCATCTTGTGTTTTTTTCTTTTGTTTTATTCTTCTAAAGGTGAAGAACATCTACATTCACAATGAGATGTTCTCCATTCAAAATGGCCTGCTGACCCCGACGCTAAAGGCTAAAAGACCGGAGCTGAAGGAGTTTTTTAAGGCGAAGATCGATGAGCTCTACAACAGCATCTCTATGTGAAGGCTGGCGGACCTGAGTTTTCTTAAAGCAATCAAACAACAACAACAACAGACGCTTTGTCCAGCGACCTGCAGTGGGACAAAGATGTGTCACCTGACGCTTAACGTGCTTTCGGAAAGCAAAGCAAAACTGGCCCAACGGTAGATGATTAAAAATGCCTAGATAAAAACAAATTAAAGAAATCAATAAAGCGAAATACAATGCACATTGTCATATGTATTTCCTTTTTATGTACGCATTCACTGTTTCATAATTAATTGAAAACGTATTTTAAATCGACACTTAAAATTTTTAGTCCATAAAAAGGAACGTATTTCTTTTTTCGTGTGACATGAAATTCCATCACAAAACAAAAACAATTTCAGGGGTAGCCAGCAGAGGGCAGCATAGAGTTGCCCATAATGAATGTAAAGACTGGTTACTAGGATTTTATAAGGGGGTGAAAGGAAACTTGTTCTTACTAGAAATAAAGACGCATCATAAATGCCAAAACTCTCCAATTATTTAGGGTGGAATGACTCAACCGTTTTAGGGGTGTGGCAATGTATTGACTTTATTAGTTAGCATTAGCTGTAGGTATACTGCTACTTACTGTGAATTAAGTTCAATTAATCAACTGTCAGTTTATTAGGGGACAGGTTAAAAAGCTGGGAGAGAACGTCTTGGCACAATTCACCTGATGTCCTGATAGCTGATTTCTGTATGCTTACAGTAAACAATGATTTAAAGGAGGACAACAAGCTAATGCTAGCAGATTCCCACATGGTAGGTAGAGCAAACTGTCTTATTAGTACATCACTAATACAAATATCAACTGATTAAATTCAAAACTAATGTGTCAGTCAGTTTGACTCACGACTATTAATTTTAATGTCAGATGGAAAATCATGTCACCGAAAAACTTTCCATTAAGTTATTTTAGAGTTTAGTTTTTAACATTGGCTTCTAATAATGTCCACGAAACAGTGTGTATTGTACGATGCATTTTTGTTTTCTTTGTTTTAATTGAGGCATTTAAAATCATCCATACATTGCAACCTGCTATTGACCCAAAAACAAATACGCCCACTCCCCAGCATCAGAAACTCAGCGTCATCATTCCCACTTCCTCAGCTCTTCTTTCCTCTTTAAATCTACCAGCCAAACAAAACCCATCTGTTTTACAAGAGTAACACAGTCATACGACAGCAAGTGTGATGTTTTAGTGTATAGTGTAGCTCCAGGAGATGTCAAAATGTACATTAATGCTGACACCTTGTAGAATTGTAATGGATTTCATCCCCAGTGGAAAAAGTTTGATTTTATTTGAATAAAAAACAGCGCTAGTAAGGCGGCTGACACACCACCCCCAACAGATACAAGAATTAAAGTTGGGTATAACCCAAACATGGTGCAATTAGATGAAATTACACCCTTCTGTTTGAAGGCAGATTTACAATAATAAGGTTCAGAGAGAGCGCAGCTGCCTTTCAAATCATCGCTGTCCACACTGTCCCATGTAAAGCATCTCAGTGTCTGAGCCACACCCAAATTACACTTTGTGTCATGTATCCGCGCACTCATTCATTATGTCAGTTCAACATGGCTGCAGTCAGAGGTTTAGCATGCATGCTCCTTGTTTATGTAAGGGCCGGCGATCTGTAACGGTCATCGAGGTTCAGACTTCTTTTTCACTCATCTTTGCACAAAGAGAATGTCAGGTAAAAGAAAACAAAATATCTAATGCAACACCAGGCCTCGGGGCAATGCATGCAATTTGCCCTGTAATGCTGGGACCATTGGCATTTAACGAGAAAAAAGACAAGCATTTCTTTGTGGTCATTAGGAGCCGGTTGTATCAAGCTGCTGACAGCCACAGCCGCAGGTACAGGGCTGTTTCACTTAGAAGAGCCAATGATGAATTCCGCTAGAACAAACATCAACTTTTAAACAAACGATACCATGTTTTTTAAAAAGGTTTACACGTAGAAGTAATGTATTCGCTTTTTAAGTTGATTACCGTCCCAAAGCATAAACAATGCGGATGTACATAAATGAAGACAGCTAGATGTAAGCATATTTATTGAATCAATGGTTTGAATGAATTTTTTTTTCTCTCTTATTGCGTGTAGTGAGATGAACTGTACTTATTTATTTATCTATTCTGCTGTAAAAATGGAATAAGCACCATATCCTTGTAATGATCGAGTGCAGCAATCGGGATGAGGGAGGTTGGGGATTAGGACAGGGGCAGTGAAATAAAAAATGTTCTGGAATGATTTTCAACTAGTGTCTTGGTCCTTTTTTAATGATGTTGAATGCAATTTTTATGTCAGGATGGTAACAAGAAAAAAAGACTTTGAACTATCCTTCAGATTAGCAGTGATGAGAGGAACTCATAAAGTACAGTACCAACCACAGTATCAAAATACTCCATTAACCCTTAAGAGCCCAGACCTATTTCTACTTTCATGAAAATTACGGGGGTCTTATATCAAATGAATCATATATAACCAAGTCTCTAAGTGTAAAGGGGCAGTGACACCAGTGTCACTGTGGGTCCTTAAGGGTTAAGTAAAGGAATAGGAGTATTTTAAGCTTAATGCACTTCACAAATCTATTTACACTCATATCAAAATATTATTTTATTTTCTAAAAGGTAAGTAATATTGTTTTTAGATGCAAGAAAGACTGTGTTCCTCTGGCCCTTTGTCACACAATCAATCTTAACATGTGATGAGAACGGCTCTTAAAGAACAGTTGAAGAGAGAGCAGGGGGAAAAAATGCATCAACCCAATGAGCTAAACTAGCACCCGGAATAGTGGTCAAAATGGTTAAAATATCTTGCCAAAGCTCAAACTCAACATCACAATGAGGATGAAAGGTCATATAAATGACTTTGAACATGGCATGGTTATTGGTGCCAGGTCTAAGAATGTCAGAAACTGTTCCCTTACTGGGGTTTTCCCACAGAACCGTCTCTAGAGTCTACAGAGACTGGCCTGAAAAACAGAAAATATCCTGCGAGCAGCAGCTATCTGGGGAAATGACTTGTTGATGCCAGAGGTCAGAAGAGAATGGCGAAATTGCTTTGAGCTGATAGAAAGGCAACAGCAACTCAAATAACCACTCACTACAACCAAGGTATGCAGAAGATCATCTCTGAATGTGCAAAACACCAAACCTTGATCCAAATTACTACAATAGCAGAGGACCACAACTGTTGTCACTCTTGTCAGCTAAGAACAGAAAACAGAGGCTAAGATTTGCACAGGCTCACCAAAGCTTGAACAATAGTAGATGCATGCATGCATCCTGCCTCTGCTGGTGTAATATTAGGGGCATTTTCTAAGCACATGTGAGCTCCTTAGTACCATAATTTAAATGCCACAGCATACAGCAGAATTGCTGACAATGTCTATCCCTTTATGACCAGTGTACCGGTCTTCTGATATCTCTTTGCAGCAACACGCTACAGTATGTCACAAACCTTTAATCACCTCATGTTTCTTACTGTACTCAAATACTTTCCAGCACCTTGCTGAATCTATGCCACCAAGAATTAAGGCAATTCTTAAGGCAAAAGAAGAAGCTTAGGGGGCTTTACCTAATGAAGTCTATCAATGCTATGTTAAGCTAGGCTGAGTTCTTTGTTTGTGTCCATTTCTGCAAACGAACTTTAAAACTGACCCAATTTTACTATGGCAGAGCGGTGATTTCACTTTTATCGCATCTGTCAAGGCATGGCAAGCATGAAGGTCGACATAAACGCTTACCAAATCTTTCCAGAGTTTCTAAATAGCATACAAATGCGAATAAATCGCTTCGGTCGTGCGTTAAAAGTGGTGATTGGCAGCTGATCACATATTCTGCAGGTGTGCTTGGTTGCTAAGTAACGCACAGAATGGTCAGGGGATGATCAAGGCAGAACTTGAAGCATTAGATTAAATACACTCTCTCCTAATTATATTTTTTACTAGTGTCATTAGCTGAAGCAGTTTTATAGTGTAGCAGTTCACTGAATGGCAAGTGATTTGATCTTTAAGTCAGTTTAATTGGAAATGGATCGATACAAGCGCCAGAGTACACTCCGTTGTGACAGTGGATTACCTATCAAACGAGATACACCCGTGAAACCAGCGCTGACCAGACGAGACCGTAAGAAAAACACTGTAATACACATTTTAACGCAGTCTACATTAAAACGTTAAACTTCAGGTGGCTTACTTGTTTATTTAAAAGTTAAAGTTTTAATCTTGGTCTGAGCCTAGTTCTCATTGTGATGGGAAATATATTATGAACACCTTCATGTTTATTATCTCAGGTTTTAACTGCTTTTCTAAATCTGTTAAATCTACTTAGTGTAAACCTAAGAGGCGATCTAATATATCTATTGATTGTACACTTTAAAAAGTGTAAATAAAGGAAAAGCCATTTTCTGTTCTCATTAAATTGTTCTCTGCATCCATGCTTTCAAACTTTAAGAGCACAGGAAACTTCTGTTCCGCAAGCATTATGAAGCTTTTCCAGAAGAACCTGAGAGGGAAGTCACGAATGACTCCAAGGTCAAACCAAAGAGCCAAGTATCTGTAAGTGTGCCCAGATGTTTTGTATTCATGTAAGATTAACAGTCACTGATGTCCAATATTTACTAGCTCACAATTATGGGTGACAAGAAGAAAATATGAAGGAATCTACGTGGAGAAAAAACACAAGTGAATGTTGATGCTGAAGCCACAAAGAGTCCCCCAATAAACTGGCAAGAAGTTAAAGTGACATGTGCATTTTGTTCTATAGAACACATACATCAGATTATGTGAGAAAAGACTGAAGGGCAATTATTCAGAAAAATAAGGAAATTAGTGTTTGGTTGATGATTTATTTGTTGTAACAGCGCTTCTTGGCGGTAAGTCTTATACTCTATTTCCCCTTAATGGTGCATTGAGGAGCTGAGTATGTGGGTGAACAACCTGCCAAATTTCTCTGCCAGTGCCAGACATATATATTGCCCTGAAGAATTATTACAAAAAAAAAATCAGCAACCAAAGACAAATTTGACTTAATAGTTTAATAAGTATAAAAAAGCATTAGAATCATATGCTACAACCTTCAGTCACCAGATTACAGATTTATTTACTCCCCTTTCTATGCTTATTCTTTTCACACAGGCCAACACTGTACACCATAAATCTACTTTGAGCTTAAGCACTCCTGCATTTACTGAAACTACCAGACACAAAGCAACCTTACCTGCCATTCAGGTGACTGTAGTAGAGGCTCATGAAGGTGATGAAATGTCGGTTAAAGAAGATGAGCAAAGCTTGGCAGTGACGCCAGAAAGCTTCACATTATCTAGCATGGAGACTGCCACAACTTTCAGCTCTGGTGACACAGAGGATGAGGACTTTTTGGACTCTGCAACTTCTAACGATATTCCCTCTCCAGAGATCTTCAGAAGAGAAAACAAGGGTGTGTCTGAGTGCATGTGTATGTGTACATTTTTGTATGTCCACAGCCACACTTGGTCTCTCACTTTTTTTTCTTTTTTTTTTGTCTTGATAGTGGAAACCTTCAATTTTTCCATTGAGGAAGACCTGCTGGATCTCCATCGTCACATAAAAAACTCCACTTTGTTGGATGTCAGCCACGCTGAGAGCATACACATGCATCATCCCCCTAACCTTTCTACCATCCTGGGTAATACTGGGGAAAAATCTCAGGCACACTTTAATTTTCTCTTTTTTTTTCAGTTCAATAAATTCCACTTAATTGAACAAAGGTGTTAAGAGTATAACTTTATTCATACTCAGTCATGTTTGGTACGTCTTTTTTTTGCAAGCTCCTTAGACTCCATCTGATAATTACATTTAAAATGTTTCTCTTTTAGAAGTAGCAAATGAACAAAAAAAGGAACAGTAACTTTGTTTTTATAGCATATTTTAATGTTCTTAGAAAAAATGCCAAGTATGCTTTAATTAAATGCAGTCTTATTTATATGCGTACCCAAACCATACCCGTGTGTCTGAAAAAGAGTAACTCTGTCTGCAGATGCCTCCACTATTCTTGCTGAAAAGACCTGTGAGATCAGGTAAGTCTTCTCAGTTGAATCTCAAAGTGTTTAGTACTTGTGGCTCACACAATTTAACTGCTTCATTCCTTATTATTTCTTTATCAAGCAACAACAGAGAAGCCGGATCTGCTGCTAAAGTACAAAATGACTCATTGAAATCAGGTAAAGGCTCTCATTTCATAAGAAACATATCTTCCTCAAGTAGTATTCAGAGCATGACTATTATTGCAAACTACACTTGCCGACCACTTTATTAGGAACGCTTGTTCAATTCCTCACTAAAGCAAATGTATAATCAACCAATCACATAGCATCAACTATGTGCATTTAGGCGCTAAGACATGATCATGATGACCTGCCGAAGTTCAAACAGAGCATCAGAATGGAGAAGAAAGGTGACTTTGAAAGTAGTTTGGTTGTTGGTGCCAAACAGGCTGGTCTGAGTATTTTATAAATTGCTGATCTACTGGGATTTTTCCACACATCCATTTCGAAGTTTTACAGGAAATTGTCAAAAACAAAGAGGGAATATCCAGTGAGCAGCAGTTCTCTTGGAGAAAATGCTTTAATACCAGAGGTCAGAGAAAAATGGCCTGACTGCTTTGAACTGATGGGAAGGCAACAGTAAACAAATATTTAGAGCATTGCAACCAAGAGGATCTCTGAATGCAGGGCTCACCAACACTGAGTAAGAGAAGATTGGAACAGTGTTGCCTGGTCTGATGAGCCTCGAGTTTTTCTGCACAGTATTCACAGGCTAGAATCAGATTTTGGTGTTAACAAAATAAAAGCATGCCTTTTTAGTAGCAGTTTGTGCTGCTGCTGGTGGGGGTGGTGTAATGGCATGGAGAATATTTTTCTGGCACATGTGGGCCCCTTAGTACCAAGTGAGCATCATTTAAATACCTGATTTCAGTGTAATAGAGCACCTATGGAATGTGGTGAAACAGGAAATCCACATTATTCATATGCAGCCAACAAATCTGCAGCAACTGTGTGATGCTATCATGTCAATATAGGCCAAATTCTTTGAAGAATGTTTCCAGCACCTATTGAAGTCAAGGAATTTAGGCAGTTCTGGAACCAAAAAGGGGCCCACAACTGTACTAGCAAGGTGTACCTAATGAAGTGCCTGGCAAGTGCATATATTTCATATGTATTTTAATATCAACTCCACACACAAAAAATAAATAAATATTATATAATTGTTATGACTACTTTTGTGGTTTCTGTCCTAAATTTGCAGACAAAACCTTTAAGAGGAAAACCCCACCAAGAGTAAGAAGTCATCTGCCCATTTATTTACATCTGTTCAAATTTGATATGATGTAGATTATTTTTATTTTGTTAGAAACAAAAGTAAGAGGGATCACAGCCATGATCGAAATGATTTTTATTCCACAGCTCAGCTACAGAAGACCTATCTTGTGTAAAAAGAAGGTTTCATTCAAAAGCCCTGTAATTACTGAGACCTTTGATGGAAAATGCATACCAGCCTCAAAGTTAATGACTCCCAGTCTCAACAAGCCATTGCAAATGTCCAGCCCACTTGAGGAGTTGAAGCCTGATGCAGAGATCAGCTCGGAAGAAGAAACATTAGCTCTGACCATGTTGCTAAAAAGGTCTGTCAAAACTATCCATAAGAAACCCAAGCTCTTTGACTTTGCCACTGACAAGGAGAGAGATACTCTCTTTCAGGTCATGAGAGAAAGATGTGTGAAACTCAGAAGTGTTACTTTATTTCCTTTCACAGCTGTTTAGTGCACCGAACCATCTTTCCTGCCACATTTGAAGCTAGAATAAGAAAACAGAAAACTGTGGCTTTACCCCCTCATCTGGATTAGATTAGTCTAATTGTAGAAAGTCCTATATGAAAATGGTCTGTAAGTACTTAAAAGAAGGAGAGAAGAATCTATGGAACAAACTTTAAATAACATTTAAGAACTAATTAAAGAAACACGCTAGACTGGCGTTTATGTTAATATGAAAAAAGTGTGTTGTGAAATGACCACTAGATGGCACATATGTATTTACCTTTAAAAACCATTGTCTGTCTTGTCCATACAGTGAGCTTTTCCACCTTTAAATATGATATATGTGTGTCTATATATATATGTGTGTGGTTTTTACTTGTTGTGCTTGTCTATATTTACATTTATTCTCGTGACATGTGTTACTATAGACTTTCTAAATGAAGAATGATTTAAAAGCAAAGTTTAAATGTATGTGTATTTTAGGTATACTCCATCTATATTTATGTATATTTGTCTTTGTCCTCAAAATCTGCATATGTATTTGATTCAGAAAGTGTCTAAAGCAAATAAAAATACATTAAAATGCCTCTACGCCTTATGTTTGTTTTGAATGTCCATCACGCCACTCTTGTGTTAATCTATGCACGGTCTGAAGCATGTATGTGGGAATGTATGTGAATATTTTACTGTTACGTCTTATTAGTATTTTAAGTATTCTATCTATTTTATTTATTGAATTTTATTGTTTTATTTATATTTTGATATTGCTAGGGATGATGCAATGATCGGGGAACATTCTTAATTTTGTTGTACCTGTGACAATGACAATAAAGTTTCTGATTCTGTTGTGGCGATCCCTCATTCTGTGTTTGACGCGTATCTTACAGTTAATTATTTTCTGTGTCTTTCAATAATATCTAAAGTGTGTGTGTGTGTGTGTGTGTGTGTGTCAAGCCGTTCAGCAGTCGCACTTAGATAATTTTTTAGTGTGAATAAATTTCATGCTGTCACGATTCCCGACAAAACATCAACACAGCGAATCCACTCACCACGTGGTACTTATACCAAAAATATCAGCCAATCGAGTAATTTGTTGTAGCAGCATTGGCGCCCGGTGAGCCAATCAGAATAATGTAGTGGGTTACCAAGCTGTTCCTGTGACTAATGCGTGTCATATGACCGTGACACCCATGGAGACAGTTACAAGGAACAAGATTTGGTCGTGGATTTGAAAACGGAAAGAGACTTTCTGTACCGAATTCATTTTGGTACAAGATGCCTCCGACTCTCTTTCAGAAACTTTTTAACAAGAGAAATGCGTTTTCATCGCCGCCTCCGAGGTGTAGCAAAGAGGACCCAGCTTTCAGGTAGCTTATTGTGTGCGTGCGCGTGTGTCCGTTTGTGGTTTGTGTGTAGGGTTGTGCGTGTGTACGTTAATAATATTTATGGCTTTCGCTTTGACGTCTGAAAGGAATGACAGTGTATTTGGAGCAACGCTTATATTGAACTCGAGGCACTCTGCAGATGAGCGTTGTGTAGTTTGGCTGATTTGACATCCGTGTTGGAAAAGTGTAGAGTGACGCGAGAGACGTGTTGTGCCTTGTTGGTGCGGTTAGCTACATGCTAATGCTAGCTGTTGGACGCTAGCGAGGCTGCTGCACGCGCTGTCTTGGTGGGACTTGACTCAGCTTGTTAGCCATCACTTTTTTGCTCATATAAATAATTGTTTATGTCAGCTTATAAGTGGAAAAAACCGCTTTAATTGTCATCCCGAAGATAGTCAAATGGTGCTTGCAAGTTACAGTAGAAGTATCTTGCTTTCTCTTTGTCTCTCCCTTGCTCCCCCCTCCTCTTTCCCCTTTGTTTCTGTGGTAACAGCATTGTGGCAAGAAAAAACGCACGTGACAGTATTGTCGCGCTCTTTTGTAGCTTATCTTTGGCTGGATCCTGATAACTTGGAGATAAGAAGTAGCATCCCTCGACTTTGCCTCTGTTACTGTACTCTCCACCAGACAACAGAGCACGACACCGTGTGCTCTTAATGGAAGCACATGTGATCGCTTCAGTCGGCCGCTGACGCATCCCATACCGTGCTGCTGTGTCGGTAGACTGTTGATGCACAGTGTTAATTTTATTGAAATAGCGTTACATGGCGTCTGAATATCACCTAACATTGCAGTGATGTAAAATAGACAAGTGGCTGGAGTTTACTTAGAACACCGATGCTTAGAACAAATGCAAGATGGCTTGTAGTGATTATAATATTTCCTGCACGCGTTGCTTGTGTTCCACATCCACTAAAGCAGATAATCGTGTCATTTCCCATGTAGCTATAGAAAACATTTATCATTTCCAAACACCAGTGCTCTTTGATATTTACCCTTTAAAGATCTGGTCATGTATTTTAAAAATTAAAGGCAAGTTAACGCAGTATTGCGGCGACATGTTGCCCAATACTGTCAGGCTTGCAACTGGGCGTCCTTAGCATATATAATGTTTCCAATCATAATCTTAAAACAAAGTTTTATTTATGTAAGGAGTACAAAACCGATGTAAACTGCATAAGAACTCTAAGGTTACATTCAGCCTGACATGGCAATGAATCATTGAGCTGAATGGGAGTTGATTTGCAGTCTCCCTGTGTATTTTCTCTCACACACTCAGGGTCAGGTGTGCCACCATTGGAAAAACGTGCTCTAAAGCTTTAAATACACTGGCATTACACAATGTTTCTCCCACCTTGTCACTCATGGGGAAGATATTTACCTGAAAGCGCATCTCCTTGTGGTGCTGCTTGCACTTTGGTCCATGCCTGAGCCAGAGCACGTTCCACTGCCATAAAGGTGCCCTGCACCCAGTGATATAAATGCAATCTGTGTGTGTGTGTGTGCGTGGAGGGGCGGGTGGCTGACTGGCATCAATCCCAGAGCAAACAGGCAGGCAGCAGGCTTTTCTGTTAGCTCAGTGGTCAGCTGTGCTCTTCATACCTCTGGCATAAGCTTCCCATTCATCAAGCATGAAATGCTCTAGAGAGGACAGAACTGTGTGGAGACATGGTTGGAGAGGGACACTTGTGTGGTAGCAAGAATAGGCTAGGATGCAGCATTAGGAGTTTCTGCATAAAAGAAAAATGCAGGCCCAATGTGACACCAGAAATAGCTTTTTTTTAGTTTGTAAATCAGGCTTATTATTGGCATTTTTCAGTCTATATTTTTTAATATCCAGTAGAGATGAAGTCTTTTCTGTTTTGCAAACCTCTGGCCTGCATACTGCATCACCGACACCATGCACTGCCACACCACTCCACTGTGCCCTCCAGAATACCATAGAGGGCAGTAGGTTGGCTGACCCTGAGAGGAAAGCCTAAAAAGACTCCTGTTTCCCTGGCTGTGGCACTTGACTGGGGACGGCATACTGTACATTACACCAAAAGCCTTTGGCTCATCCTGTAGCCAGTCTGAGACCTGATCATTAGCCAGTAGCTTTGTCCTCCCACTCACACCCAAACTGCTTGTCCTGGCAGCCTGCTGAGGAAACTTCCTACATGACCTGCACTAACAGACAATATACGAGTAAGAGAGTAAAAGCAGATTTACTCAAGTTTGACGTTTTCTGTTTAATATATAGATTCGTGGAATTAAACTTTTTCTATGGTAAACTAGGACTCACCTGTTTCCTTTTCAAGTTGATATAAAATGGTCATAAGTCTAGAAAATATAATAAAAAATTTGGTGAATTTAAAATAAATTAAATTAGTACAGTGTATTGTAGATTTAGTAAATCATGTTTGACAAGCCTGTGAAAATGCATGACGTTGCATTTGCTGGAGTACTACTTTTTTTTTTTTCTTTTCTTTTTTTTTTGTTTCTCACACCGTGGAATTTATCTTTAAAAATGTTTTATTTATAGTTTGGGAGAAGTCGTGTCTCAGGTTCCTGATTGGCAAGGCGTCCTTCCTCCATTGCATACTTTCATAACTCGGTGTGTCATGTGAGGCTTTCATCAATCTCAGGCTGTCATGTTTGTTGTGTGATCACATGGTTACCAAAGTCGCTGGCAAAAAAAAAAAACCTAAGCACCTTTGCAAGTGTTGATGAAGATGCACACTTAGTTTTTTTTTTGTTTTGTTTTTTTAAGTAATGCTCTCTTCTCTTGTATCCTGTTGCTGTTTATCTAAAGTTATGAATCAACATGTGATCACTCGTACTGTCTCAACCCTTTTATCGCATCACTATCTTAAAAAATTCCCAGCTTGACTCTAAAATGAAAAACCCATCACAGCGTTTTTATGTATGCTTGTTCTGCTCTGCTCTCTGTTTGATTACTTTCTTTTTAAGCACTCACTGTCGGTAAACTGACATGGATTACTGTGAATGTTATAGCTTTATTTTGCAGGGCTGCTTTCTTCCCTCGGTGCATGCTTGTGTGAATGCTGCAGGCGTGCCAAGGTTCTGTAAAGACAGCGGCTGTCATCGGGTTCCTATCGGGGCTATTTCAAGTGGCCACACTCAGGCTTCTCAGAACTGCAGGGTCATAGTAAGGATATAATTTGATGTTAAAGCTGCAGGGGCATCACACACTTTACAGCGGTGCGCAAACACGTTTGTATTCGTCACAAACTTTTCAGTATGTGCCCTTTAGCTTGATATTAAATTTCTATTACGCTCTGTGAGCCAAAGGGTCAGTGTCTATTCTACTATTTAAGCACAGTGTAATTATGTCTACATGTGCTACCAGAATGAAAATTATAGCGCCAGAGGTTGTATCAAAATGTTTTTGGCAGTGAAATAGCTGTTCTACATTATCTTTAGTATCCTAGCAGGTTCAGCCGTGAAATCTAAGCAGGGCTATTAAAGATGTACTGGAGGCAAAGGTAGAGAGGCAAGTTTCAGATGGAAGGAATATCTGCAGAGGGCGGGTAGTGGAAATATTAGACAAAGGATGATCAAGATGGAGGGGCCCAGCAGGTCGAAAAGAAGAAGACTACAGAGGAGGCTTGTGGATACATGTATTAAAGGGGGACATTCAGATGGTTGGTGTGACAGAAGAGGATGCAACGGAGAGGGTGAGATGGGAGGCAGATGATCCATGGTGACCCACGGATCGAAGAGAAGAAACATAATTTACCAGCTAGAATGTGATAACTCAAACCACAGGTTGAATTAGGAGTTTTAATTGGCCTTCGTGTGTCCAGAACATGCGACCTCCCTGCAAACACTGTATGGATCAATCAGCTGTCTGCCATGTGAAGCTCATACTGAGTTTAAGGACCTAAAGGAGTGTCCATACTGAAAGCAGTTCACTTGTCGGCTGTAGTTTATAGTTAACATCTTGTCTCTAATGGACATTGAAGGCTCCACATGCTTAGGTAACCCTCTAATGTCTTTGGTTCTCTGTCGTATGTCAATCAACACTATCCTTTGTTGTCATTGGTAATCGCCTCGCTGGTACCCGTAGCCTTAAAGTTTTATATAATGCTTGCTCAAATTGCGTCACCAGTAGTTGTTTTGTCTGTGGTTGCTTGTAGATAAGGATTTTATGGTTTCTGGTTACCAAGTCACTGACATTTCCAAATGAATGCTAGGAT